TTAACTGGAGTTAAGAGTCTCATAGACTTTCTTGCCAGGACTGGCTTTGAACTGTGATCCCCAGATCCTCAGCTCTGAGCCACCTAAGTAGCCAGGATTATAGGCATGAGCCCTTGGCACCCAGCATGCTTTATTCTATTTAATCTTGTCCCAGGATGTTGTCATATACCCAAATCAAACACTGTTTTCTTATTTCCATGATGAGCATGGTGAAAAAGAAAATATATATTTTTTCACTGTGATGGGAATACATTTGAATTAAATGTTTAAATGCCACTGTTCAAAAAAGTCTTTTCGATCCACTACTAATAGCAGATGACAAAGAAGTATCAATAAATCTTTGTTCAAATTACCATTTACCTTAATTAACAAAATATTCTACAAATATAGAAGTCTTTTACTGAAAGAAAATTCTTAGCTAAAATCTATCACTGAATACCATATAGAAAATAGCATTCTGTTTCATTGGCTCTGAATCCCATTTTAAAATACTAGACTCACTATTTGTTCCTGAATAATAGGCTCTTCCTACAAGTTCAGAAGAATCATGTCCTGAGTTGAGTCATTGAGTAACTATTACATGATGTCTCATGGGGTGCTTATTGGGCAATGTTAGGGGATAGACTGTCCCCTGAAACCTATTGATTTTGGATCTCAATATCTTTATTTCCTTACATGTAGCACTCTTACTTAGTTAGCATTTAATTACATTATCTTTATGTTCTTTTACTCCCCCGCCCCCCCAATCATTTCTCCTTAACAACAATCTAGTTGTAGCCTAAAAAGTGTTGTTAAGAATAATTAAAGTACTTCAGACAACTCAAGTAGCTACAAGATTTGGAAAGAAAGATCTCCAGCTTTAGCTTAGATTTACTACATGTCAATGACCTTAAATCCTTCCCAACCATAGAATCTTAGTCGCTCTCTCTTTATCTCTCTGTCTCTGTCTCACGCATTCTCTATCTTGTGCTGGTATTGACCTCAAATAAGCCTTGCCTCTTGCTTGTCTTTCTCACTCAAAGCAGAGTTCTACTCCTTGAGCCACACCTCCACATATGGCTTTTTGCTGGTTAACTGGAGATAAGAGTCTCATGAACTTTCCTGCCCCAACTGGCTTTGAACTGTGATCCTTAGATCTCAGCCTCCTGAGTAGCTAGCCTTACAGGCAGGAGTGCAGCATCAGCACCTAGCTCCTTTAGTTTTCTCTTTTAATTATCAAGTAAGTAAACTGCCTGGTTCTAATCACAACTAAAGTAATATGAATATCACTTCAACCCTTTCCATAAACATGTGTTCTTCAACATTATCCAAGTGTCTTTGTGAAAAGGAAAAGCGATTGCCCTGTGGTCAAGGCTAACATCTTGTGTAACTGGCTTATGAGAGAACTACTTCTGAAACAAATCATATTTTATGTTTTTGGATAGTAAAGGTGACACAGGCATAGATGGTTGACTTTTTTACCCCCTCCTTGTGAAATAACTAGCCATTCAATGAAAGTTCCAAGAGATTGACAGCTATTAATGGAGGCTGCAAAATTTTAAACTAATAAACACTCTAGGAGGATAATTCATGTCATTGTGAATGTCAATGAGACATCATAATCAATTCAGTTCTAATATATTTGTTTTAATATAAAACCTGAGTCAGAATTGATCATTTGTGATCTCCCTGCAGTAACATGCACAACTGAACAAAAAACATTGTGCACAAAGTGTATGTTTGGCTCTTCATTCTGTTAGTATCTCTCTGGCATTAGTCCTGACAATATTTGAATGTGCTTGGACATTCAGTAGGGTGGCAGAGACACAGGCTGGCCTTGATCATGAAGTTTCAAATGGCCAAGGAAAATATTATTAGAAAAGCAATGATTACATATTCACCTTTTGGCTAAGATCAAGCATAAGAAATAGGTGAGAGGGGAAAAAAACGTATCAGTGGATTTTATGATGAACTTATGTCCTCTGCAAACATTTCTGATCATTTCCATGTTTGATTTACCCGTTTCCCTTATTGGTTGTTGGTGAATCAGTTGAAACCAAAAAGTAATGATCACAAAGCCATGAAAAAAGGAATACAAAAGAACCTCAGTGTAGTTATGCTTAATGAATCAACACTTGGTCCTTTTTGTGGACCTCTATTTTAGCAATGAATCCCTGAGATTAGGTATTTGTTATATACCTAACCTCTATAACTTCATATTATGTCAATCTTGCTACTAAAATGTGGCATACAGAAATTAACAGTGGTGATTTTTAACATGAGACTCTATTTTAAATGCTGGAATAAAAAATATTTCTTCAGTCATGAGCAGGAAGAGGTAAGTTCCATGTATGGCTGTGCAGAACAAAGGGATGCTGTTTCAAAATGGTGAGATCACAGTTTCTTCAAATGAGCTATCTTTGTACATGATCTGCTTTAGCAATCAGTGGGGTACATTTCTCTCCTGTGTTACAGAAAACATGAGTTGTGAATTCTTTCACCTAATTTCTTTCACAGAATTAACCACATACTTCTGAGATTGTAAGTTAACTCTAACCCCTAGGGGGAAAAATATATTTTTTTAATTTCTAAAAATTAACGTAAAAGAATGTATTTTAATGTCAATCCTTGTATTAAAACCTCCTGAGTAGCTGATAGTTTTTGTCCTAAGAAGTGTTTTTTTTCCTTTGTAGGAAATCAAGAAAAATACAATGCTTGAAGGATGAATAAATGCACAAAATAGAATTACAAGCAAAAGTATATACTATATTGGCTTAGAAAATGTAGTTGCAAGTTTACACTGGCTACACCTAATTACCTCTCAAAAAGTCAATAGATTTAAGGGTTTTCAATTTTCATTTGACAACTTTTATTTCCCAATGAAATATAGTTCTAAAATTATCATCTTCAGTCTTTCAGTCTCTAACAATTGGTTTTCTAGGCTTGAGAAGGTAGCCAAGGGTTTTCAGTCTGGTTTATCCAATTATTTTCAATTAGAATTCTATTCTCAAAATAATACTACTTGCATTAAGATAGTACAAGAATTTTTGGAAAATTTTTTGCAGTATTCTTTGCCTTTAAAATACTAATGTGCGAAATATTTACAATTTAATTAACAGCATTTCTTTTCTTAGGTGATTCCCGCAAACAAAATCCCAAGGCTTTTAAAATTAATTTTTTAATATTTATAAATAAGGGATTTTGTGAGAATAAAATTTCATAATTCATGATAAAAAGTTTCTCATCCCGATAAATTTATTTTATGTTCCAGGTATAAATGTTGTTGTTCTAAAAAATCTTTCTAGTTTAGAATAAAATTGAAATATGGACATCTCAAAAGTAACGTTGGAATAATTCAATACAGACACTTTCCAATGAGATCTGGACATAAGACAGTAAAAAGTAGATCTGGATGAAAAGGAAAAGGAAGTTCTGTCTTGTAAAAACATTGCATAGCTTTTACATCTAGTAGCCTGATACTTGCTCTTGATCCTTTTTTTTTTCCTGTCAGTACTGGGACTTGAACTCAGAGCCTAGGCACTGTCCTTAAGCTTTTGTGCTAAAGGTTAATGCTCTACCATTTGAGCCATAGCTCCATTTCTGGCTTTTGGGGTATTTACCTGGAGATAAGAATCTCACAGACTTCTACCATGGTTGGCTTTGAACTTTGATCCTCAGTTTTCAGTGTCCAGAGTAGCTAGGATTACAGGACTGAACTGCCAGCATCTGGCTTCCTTGATCCTTTTGAAGGAAAATTCCTTTCATGAAAGGACTGGAGGTCTGTGCCTTTAGAATTGATTTGCACATTTTTATTAAATGTGGAAGTTGTATCATTAATGGTATATATGCACAGATGGCTGAACAAAAAGGTCACTCTTTCTTTAAGAAAATAATCCAGTTCCACTGAAAGGCTCCTGATTGGTTTGAAACTTTGTCATCACAGAGTATAATGTAAAAAGACGGTGAACACAGGACATTTAATTGGACCTTTGGTGTCTGCTAAGTGTGATCAATCAGAAACACAAGATCTATAGGAGAGCCTCAAAACACAAAAGAACATGTGTCACAGGCCTTGAGAACCTTAGAAACACTGAGGAAAAATAAATTTCTTATTCTACTCAAATAGTAGTCCCTATGATCCTTGGGGGAAAGAAAATACCAGTCACACAACACGACAAATGTTTAAATCAACATCAGCAGTACAATATTATAAAACAGTAGCCCAAATGGCTCAACTTCCATTTTTTTCTCCAGCTACTACATGACATTCTTATACTGATATTCAAAAATTGATTCCATGTACAGCTTTCTCCGCAGGAAGCTTGACAAAGTTATTTTTTTATGTTTTATTTGTTTGGTTAGTTTGGCAGAGCCAAACTTCACCAAGAAAAGTATTTGCTCAGAATGAAAGAAAAAAATGCTATTATCAAGTAGGAAACATTAGTTTGAGTGTGCAAAGACTTGATGCTACGTAAGTTAAGATTAGAATGTCCATCAAAGGAGGCTGGGATGTAGCTCAGTGGTAGAAAATTTGCCTGGAATGCTTGAGGCCCTAGGTTTCCCCAGCATCACCAAAAAGAAGTCCATCAATATAGAACCTTGTGCATAATCATTAACAAACACAGTTGTAACAAGAGTAAAACCATACAAATATAAAATGTGCTACTTTGTGCAATAGCAGCAGACAGTATGCTTAAGTTTAGATACACAGGGATTCTTTTGTTTTTTAAAAAACACCGTTTCTTTGCTGATGCAAAGAGTCACAACGTTTTGAAACACTGCTAACCAGGCATGTGACTTGAGGGCCAAATGCCTGATGTAACAAAGGACTATTTGTATTCAAGTAAAATGTCTTCAGATATTCAAGACAATAAGGTAAATGAAAAAAATGCACATCAAATTTGTATATTACCATGGGTATTTTTGAAATGAAGAAATCAAACCTTCCAGTTGTATTTTTTTTCCCTAATTCAATAAGCACTGGATTGTAGGTCCTCATAAAGGCCATATGTTTTGAAGAATTAGGGCGTAGGTGGTGGTTTGGGAGAAGAGCAGGACCCTTGACTGTCAAAACTGGTTGCTCGGCCAGGTAACTGGAAGATAATAATTTCAGAATATATGATTCAGTGTAGGAAAAGTACTACACTTAGTAAGTGTTGCTTCCTTTTGAACTGTAGTTCAAAGCAAGAAGCAGAGTCTTATCCCTAGAAAAAGAGGTGATAAAGCTATCATTCATTTGCTCTATGGCTATTACACCTATTGTTTTTTAAACTGAAATAGGTTTGCTCTTCATCTACTACGTACGTTTTTGTGAGCTTGCATTACATTACTATACAATAAATCCATTCATATGCATTATTTATTTGCAACTTTGCAGAAGATCAAGAGATTAGAAAGAAAGTCATTCAACCCATGCCACCTTCAGAAGACCACAGAGGCGGATGTAAGCTCCAGAAACAAAAGGCCTGACAGAAAATGGATGTTCATAAACACTTCTGTTTAATATAGAGGTTAACAGTCATTATCATAAGTTATAATATTGTGATGGTAAGTGCTAATATTGTATTCCATGTGCAAAGCATGCAATATTCCCATTGATTTGGTTTACTTCTAGCCCAGGGTGATAGGAGGAATGTATAGAGATTCATGTAACTTGCCCAAGGGTTTACAATATACAGACACACAGAAGGACTTACGCTCAGGCAGGCTGATAGCTCCTGTGCTCTACTTTACCAGAGGGTTTGGTGGGGGTGGGAGGGGAGCAGAGATATATTTGTCCCCTCTGGTACACAAGTTGGATTAGGTGACTGTACCTCACTTAAGGACACTCTCTCAAAAAAATAAAAGGAAAGGAGATAAGAGGAAAGGAAGAAGACTGGAGAGGAAAAAAGAGAGGAAGAGAAAGGAGAGACAGAGAAAGGGAGAGGGAAAGGAAGGGGAGGGGAGAGAAACAAGGAAGGAGAGGGGGAGAGGGAATGGGAGAGAAGAAAGGAGGGGAAGGGGGAGGGGAGAAGAGGAGAGGAGAAAAGAGCAGAGGAGGAGGGAGAGAAGGGAGGGGAGAGGAGGGGAGTGGAGGGGAGAAGAGAAGAGAGGAGGGAAAGAGAAGAGGGGAGAGAGGAAGGGAGAGGGGAGGGAAGGAGAAGAATGGAGGGAAGAAGGAGAGGGAGAAAGAGGAAAAGAGATGAGGAGGGAGGGAGGGAGGGAGAGGGATGGAACCAGCAGGCTGGACATCGGCTGGTTGTGAGTTGGAGTAAATCCTCATGGCAGTACTAAAGCATTGGTAAAGTGAAGCAGACTTTAGGTAAGGTGATTATTCCACATTATTCCACTTCCAGCCACTAATAAACATAGAAGCTTGCTCAGGACTCACTGATGTAAAATTTTAGACTGTACAAAAAAAGGGAAATAAAGCCAGGTACCCATGGCTCATATCTGCAATCTTACATCTCAGGAGACAGATCTGAGGTAAAAGGTTCAAAGCTAGCCCAAGCAGGAAAGTCTGTGGGACACTTATCTCCAATCAACAAACAAAAAGCCAGAAGTGGAGCTGTGGTTCAAGTGATAGAGCACTAGCTTTGAGCAAAAAAAGAGGCTCAGGGACAGTGTCCAAGCCCTGAGTTCAACTCCAGAACCAGCACACATGAAGAGAGAAAGAAAGGAAGGAAGGAAGGATGGAAGGAAAGAGGGAACGAGGGAGGAGAGAAGAGAGGAAGGGAGGGAGGAGAAAAGGGAGGGAGGGAGGGAAAAAGGAAAGAAGGAAGGAAGGAAGGAAAGAAGGAAGGAAGGAAGAAAGGAGGGAGAGGAGGGAGAGAAGGAGGGAGGGAAGGAGAGAGGAAGAAAGGAAGGAAGGGGGAGGGAGGAAGGAAGGAGGAGAGGAAAGTAGGTAGACTTGCAGCATTGTGTGCTTATTGTGGGGTTTTATGATCCCCCAGGCACACAGCACACAGCAAGCTAGATGTCAGAGGCTGTGAATAAATCAAGCATCAGGTGAGGGTTAACGGGTCAATCTATTTAAGGAAAGTGCTAACCACCACAGTGGAGGCCAGCAAGTCTCTGGCTTACCTCCAGCAAGGGGTGCCAGTGGGTAATGGGCTTGCGGTGGTAGGCCAGCATCTCGTTCCAGTGGTCCCGGCCCAGCCCCTGGGCATCCAGCCCGGTTCTGCACACTCCGATCACCTCATTGTGCCCCACCCTGCCATGCGGAGAATATTACATTTCATCTCCAGCATTCAAGGTCAGTGGAAGCTCTTCACACATCATAATAACATTTTTAAAAGTTTTTTTCTATTTGAAAATGCTAAAAACAGAGGAGTTACAGTTACATAATTCAGGTAATGAGTACATTTCTTTTTGGACAGTGTCACCCCTTCCCTTGCTCTCTCCAAGTTTTTCCCTCCTATCCCCACCTACAAGTTGTATAGCTCATTTTCCAGTGAGGACCGAGGCCACATTTGTTTACCCTTTGCTCTGTGCACTCCTTGCCCTCCCAAAGACAAGTTAATAAACGAGAAAAAAGGAAAAGAAAAAAAAATAGTGACAAAGAAAGAAATCTTTGTTTCTATTTCCTGGAGATCATTTAGATGAATATTATTTTATATAATCAGAGGCGCAGAGGCCTTGCGCTTTTGTGTTTTTCTTCCTCTGGTCTGGCTGTGTGTGAATGCCTGGAGTCTTGTATTATTCATCATGTCCTGGGGTATTTTAGATCTAGTAGTAACATTTTAAACATAGCATTGACACATTAGGTGGTGTAATTTTACAAATTACAATCATTTCCCTTACTCATGGTTTCAACTTATGCATGTTTACCTATAGTCAGTTCTGTTCTAAAATTATCATATGGAAAATTCCAGAAATAATTCAAAAATTGAAAAAAAAATTGGTAGTCCTGGGGTTTGAACTCAGGGCATCACATTCACTTGATTTGGTTTAGCTCTTTTGCTCAAGGCTAGTGCTCTACCACTTGAGCCACAGCTCCTCGTCTGGCTTTTTGGTGGTTCCTTGGAGATAAGAGACTCACAGACTTTCCTGCCTAGGCTGGCTTTGAATCATGATCCTCAGATTTCAGTCTCCTAGCTAAGAACACAGGTGTGAGTTCCTAGCACCTAGTTCTTAAATAACTGTTAATTCAGCAAATCATTGTGATTGATTGATTGATTGATTGATTTTTGTTGGTCCTGGGGCTTGAACTCTGGGCTTGGACGCTGTCCCTCAGCTCTTCAGCTCAAGGCAAGAGCTCTACCACTTGAGCTACAGTGCCACTTTCGGTTTTCTAGTGGTTTATTGGAGATAGGAGTCTCATGGTCTTTCCTGCCCGGGCTGGCTTTGAACTGCGATCCTCAGATCTCAGCCTCCTGAGTGGCTAGGATTATAGGCGTGAGCCACCGGCGCCCGGCTCTGTGGTTGTTTTATTTAGTTATGGTTATCGGTAACTCCTTCCTCTGCCCAACTTAAAGGTTAAATGTCACCATAGTTATGGCCTGTGTGGCAAGCACAGTGTATCTTGGGTCTTTGAGAGCGGGGCATGTGAACCGACGTAAGTACAATTCAAGTCAACAATATCAAACAATCAACAAACCCAGATGAATTTCTATAAGAAACACAGTCAAACCCTCTGAGGGCGCTTCAATTTGAACACAGTAAGTAAAGACATTAATCATAAAAATAATAAATAGTAATGACTGTGAATAAGCAATGCTTTGGAACTTTGATGTATGCATTTTTGTCTTGCAAGCCTTTCTATCCTTTGGGGGTTTTTTTTGTTTGTTTGTTTTCAATTTTTTAGTTTTTGGCTGCTGGCCTGGCTTGAATTCAAGGCCAGGATGTCCGGGCTTTTCTGCTCAAGGCTAGCACACTACTTATGACTTGAGCCACAGGCTCCACTTTTGGCTTTTTGCTTGTTGATTGGAAATCAGAGTTTCATGGACTTTCTCTTTTGGGCTGGTTGTGAACCTTTCGCCTCAGATCTGTCTCCTAAGTAGCAGGGTTACAGGCATGAGCCATGAGCCCCCGGCTCTTTCTATCCAATTTAAGTGATGTAAATTAAGCCTTGTTTCCCTCCCCACCCCCCCTAACTACAGCGGACCACAGGCTCTCCAGTGACCCCTCCTGTTCCCTGCTCACTCCCTGTCTTCACAATGAAAAGTCAAACAACAAGAACAGCTACCACTTGGAGCTTATACACTACCAGAAAGTCTAAGAAACTTCAATGCTCTGTCCCTATTAGTCCCTCTCTCATGCCATGAACATCATCATCGTCATCATCACATCACAATTACAACCATCATTATCATCACCATCATCATTCATCATCACCTTCATCATCATCATTATTACCATTATCACCATCACCATCATCATTATTACCATCATCACCATCATCATTACCATCATCACCATCACCATCATTCTTACAGCCATCATTATCATCATCACTTCATCATCATCATCATCATATCATCACCATGATCATCATTATCATCATCATTACAATCATTATCATCACCATCATCATTATCATCATGACTTTCATCATCATCATTATCATCATTATCATAATCACCAACATCATCATCATCATCACCATCTCATTTTACTGATAAAGAAATGAAATACCCAGAGAGTTAAGGCCTGGTTAGCTTTATATACTGTGCAAGAGGTAGAAGAGGATCTGAATCAGAAATTAGGCAGTTGACTCAAAAGTTCATTTGAGCCAGGGATCCCAGCTATGCAGGAGGCTGAGATCTGAGAATCACAGTTCAAAGCCAGCCTGAGCTTGAGTGGTAGAGCACCAGCCTTGAACACAAAGGCTCTAGGACAGTTCAAGCTCTGAGTTCATGCTCTAGGACTACACACACACACACACACACACACACACACACACACACACACACACACACACACACACACACACACACACACACACACACACACACACACACACACAGTACATGTGATAAGCTGCTTCCTCAGATGGAATGTAATTTAGGAGCTTCTGCATTATTTTTCCTTGTTTTGGAGGTTCTGGGGTTTGAACTCAGGACCTTGTACTTGCTAAGCTGGTGTACTGCCGCATGGTCATACCTTTAGTCATTTTTGCTTGTAGGTTATTTTTCAGATAAGAGTCTGGTTTATTTGTCTGGGGCTAGTCTTGGTCCTCCCATCTGCTGGGTTTACAGGCATGAGCCACTGTACCAAGCCAAAAATGGATTCTTGGGAATTTTTTACCCCAGCTCATCTCCAACTGTGATCTTTCTTATTGCTGCCCAGTATCCAATCTCTTCAGGATTGGATGGACATCTCTGAGGGGACTTTGGTGATGGTTTTAGACCATTGATTAATTTCTTCCTGTTATTCATTTCTAAAACTGAACAGGTTTTAGAAATAATTTTCCTGTGTGTGTGCTGGTCCTGGGGCTTGAACTTAGGGACTGGATGCCTTCCTGAGCTTCTTGTGCCCAAGGCCGCTAACACAACACCACTTGGGCCACAGCTCTAGTTCCAGCATTATGCTGGTTCATTTGAGCTAAGAATCTCATAGGCTTTCCTACCCGGTCTGGGTTCAAACCAGGATCTTCAGATCTCAGCCTCCTGAGTAGCAAGGATTACAGGCCTGAGCTCTCCAGCAGTGCCTGACTACAACTGACGAGTTTTGAATGAGCGTTTTCCCCTCCTTCTCTTTACATGAAGTGGTTGCAGCAGGAAATAACCGACAGAGCTATCTTTGGCCTCTGCGTTACTGACATGGCTACTGTGTGTTGAGCAGAGCCCCTGCTTACCTGTCATAATCCATGACGGCAATGGAGATGCTGACCTGGTCCACATTCTCTGGCGGGATGTCGAAAATAATAGCCTCATTGTACACAGGGTTCAGAGTGTTTTTCTTGGTCGTTGTTTTCCTCTTTTTGAGTCTCCGGCCTTCACACATCAGAGATACTTTGACATAAGGATCTAGGAATAGGAAGGTACTTCCATTCAGCTAAAAGTAGGGCCATGAAGCAAAAGAAACATTTGGAGATAAGAGTCTCATGGACTTTTGCCCAGGCTGGCTTTGAACTGCAATCCTCAGAATTCAGCCTCCTGGGTAGCTAGGATGATAGGTGTGAGTCACTGGCACCCAACTAAAATTATACTCCTAACTTTAATAGATTATCCATCAGTGAAAGAAAATTTCAAGCACGATATAGTTATTCAATATGCGCATCTAGAACTAATGTTGCTAAGTCTTTCACAAATTTTAGTTTGCTTATTCTAAATCAGGCTGAGGGAAAATAACCTGAACAATTGAACTTCATGTAATGCATGCCACGTGATAGCTTTCAATTCACAGGACTTACTCAGGGGCAATGGATTCACTAAGACATATTGAAAGGTAAGCCATTTACCAGGGGGTAAATAAAAACATAATGAATCTGATATCACTGTTGGGTTTTTTTGGGGGGGGTTAAGGGGGTGAGCACTGCAGATAGAACATATTCATGTTTGGCTTTCTTGTTCATGGCTGGCTGGCGCTCTACCACTTCAGTCACACCTCCAGTTCAGCATTTTGGAGCTGAAGTCTCAGATCTTCTTGCCCAGATGAGATGGCTTCAAAAATTCCCAAATCCAGGAGGAAAACAAAGGAGGAGTCAACAATGCTCAATAGGAAATGTACTCATTACTTTGTTCCTGTAACTGTAACCTCTCTGTATAGCATTTCTACAATAAAAAAAGTATGAAAAAAATTCCCAAATCCCCCATAGTCGGGTGCTGGTAGTTCACATCTGGAATCCTAGTTATTCAGGAGGCTGAGACCTGAGGATCCAAGTTCAAAGCCAGCCCAGGGGAGAAAGTCTCTGAGACTCTCATCTCCAGGTAACCACCAAAAAGCTGGAAGTGGAGCTTAAGTGGTAAAACACCAGTCTTGAGCAAAAAAATAAAACAAACAAACAAAAAGCTTAGGGACAGTGCATACATTCAGACACACAAAGACACAGACACAGACACACAGACACACAGACATACAGACACACATAGACACACACACACACACACACAAACACACACACACACACAAACACACACACACTTGAAATCCTCCATATCTCAGTTGTCTGAGAAGTTATGATAATGGGTGTTATGAGCACTCAGGTTTATCTGCTTTTAGCTCAGGAGAGAAAACATATCAGTGTATCAAGGTATCAAGAGTTACTCTAGCACTGAAATACAGTTATTGTTGTTGTTGTTGTTGCTTGCCCTGGTCTTTTGATTTGAATTAACTTAGGGAATGCCAATAAATAAAAACAATTGTTCAGGTTATTTTCCTTCAGACTGATTTAGAATAAGCAAACTAAAATTCTGTGAAAGACTTAGCAACATTATTTCTAGATGCGCATATTGAATTGCTTCATCATACTTGAAATTTTCTTTCACTGCTGGATAACATACTAAAGTTAGAAGTGTATTTTTAGTTGGGTGCCAGTGACTCACACCTATCATCCTAGCTACCCAGGAGGCTGAGTTCTGAGGATTGCAGTTCAAAGCCAGCCTGGGCAGCAAAGTCCACAAGACTTTTATCTCCAATTAACCATCAAAAAAAGCTGGAAGTGGAGCTGTGGCTCAATTGGTAGAGTGGTAGCCTTGAGCAAAAGAGCTCAGGGACAGTGCCTAGGCCTGAAGTTCAAGACCCAGGAAGGGCACACACAAAAAGAAATATAATTTTAGTTACAATATTAGTGCTTGAGTTGTCAATGAATTTATATTAGATATACCAGAGTATATGATAAAATATTTATTTTTAAGATGAACTCAAGGAAGACTCTGATAACACAATGTCTATATGATGCCACTTGGAGAGAGAAAAATTCAGTTGACTAATGTGTGTGTATATGTGTGTGCACAGTACTAGGGCTTGAATTCAGGACCTGGGTGCTGTCCCTTAGTTTTTGCACTCAAGCCTGGTGCTCTACCACATGAGCCACAGCTCCACTTCTGGCTTTTTGATGGTTCATTGGAGATAAGAGTCTCACAAACATTCTTGCCGAGGATGGCTTCAAACCTTGATCCTCAATCTCAGCCTTGTGTGTAGCTAAGATTACATACTGACTGTGCACTCTTAGCAGGTGGCGAGCTGACGAAATTTTTATGAGCCCCAGAAGTGAAATAATCAACAAATTTGCTGCTGCTGAATGGATACTTATCATCTCAGAACTGGACCAATATTTCTGGAAGCTATGTAACATGTTATAAGTTCCCCAGAAGTATAATGGCTTTGGGAGTGGCAAACTTGCTAGCTAATTAAAACTAAGGCACTGTATGCTCTGTATTTTTTTTTTCTGCCAGTACTGGGGTTTGAACTCAGGACTTTGTACTCTTGCTTGAATTTTTTTCACTCAAGGCTAGTGCTTTTCCACTTGAAGCATACCTCTACTTTAAAGTTTTTGCTGGAGATAAGAGTCTCACAGACATTTTTTCTCTGGCTGTTTTTAAATCATGATCCTTAGATCTCAGCCTCCTGAGTAACTAGAATTATGGGAGTGAACCAACAGCACCCAGACTGCTCTGTCTTCTTTTTCTTTTTCTCATTATTTTATTTTATTTTTTTCTGGTCACACTGAAGTTGTAACATCATCATCTCTTTCTCTCCATTGCTATAGTCATAAATTTTATTTCCTTAGATTTAGCCAAAATGACAGTAATATAAATTTACTGAGCTGGTATGGGCTTTATAAACCCTAGGGGGAAAATGTTCCTGTATATCTTGAAAGGATTCTGCAAAAAAGATCCAAATGTATTTGGAGTCTAGCAATCACATCAGCAAAGGACACGGTAAGAAAACAATATTTCCTATCTATTCTGAAGCTTAAGAAAGTATGCTGGAGCAGGGTGCTGGAGGCTCACGCCTGTAATCCTTTCTACTCAGGAGGCTGAAATCTGAGGGTCATGGGTCAAAGCCGGCCAGGTCAGGAAAGTCTGTGAGACTCCTATCTCCAATTAATCAGCAAATAGCTGGAAGTAGAGCTGTGGCTCAAGTGGTAGAGCACCAGCCTTGAGGGGGAAAAACAAACAACCTCAAGGACAGCTCCAACGCCCTGAGTTCAAGCCCCAGGTCTGGGCACAAAAATCAAGGAAGGAAGGAAGGAAGGAAGGGTGGGAGGGAGGAAGGAAAGAAGAAAGGAAGGGAATGTATGCTGGAAAGAACCAGTTACGAAGGGCTAGTTTTGTGTTTGCGCCCACAGGTCTGTCAGTGGGAAGAAGGCAGAGTCTGCTCTCTGCTCTCCCTCGCATTTCTGACAGCAAGTCTCTGCTTCTGACAAGGGTAATATCCTGGCTCCTCTGCTGATTCATGAGCCGGATGTGGAGATTAATGAGGAGGTGCTCTCTAGCACATGATCGCCCTATGCAAGCTCCATTGAAATTTTTAAAAAAGTCATCTTGTACTTAATTACACCTGAGTACTGTTGGCTTGTCTAAAATTTGATCTCTGGGAACGTTGGGAGGGGGTGGACAGAGAGGAGCATAAACAATAATTGGTAGACGACACTGTTTATCTCAACGTTCCTTAATCTTTTCCCAAGATTTTTATTTTTCCAGAAATATAAATGTGGAAGATTCTTTTTTTTTTTTTTTAACTTTTATCTCTGTAACAGATCTGAGGATCATGGTTCAAAGCCAGCTGAGGCAGAAAAGTTTGTGAGACTCTTCTCTCCAGATAACAACCAAATAAAAGGCTTACAATGGAGCTGTGGTTCAAGTTGTGAGCTTTTGTGTGCAAGGCTAGCGCTCTACCTCTTTGAGCCACAGCTCCATTTCTAGTTTTCTGGTGGTCAATTGGAGATGAGAGTCTCTTGGACTTTCCTACCCAGGCTGGGCTCAAACAGCGATCCTCAGATCTCAGCCTCCCTAGGAGCTAGGATTACAGGTGAGCCACTGATGCCTGGCTTCCATTATTTCTGTATGCAAATATTAGTAATATATATTTATGGTCTAAATGTCTGTCTCCATTTTTGCACAAAAGTAAGCATGACACAACACACATTCATTTTTGTGCCTTGTGGTTCTTTCCATAGAACTTAAGAGCTCCATTATGCTTTTTGTAATGTAAATTTAGCTTTGTTTTTTTAGTTCTAAAGAATACCAGAGTTACAGATCCTCCTCTCCAATGTCTTCTTCAATTGTATCTCCCTTACTCATATTTTTTAAATTCAAAACTTCTGATTTCCTTGTTTGTCTTTTATCGTATTTCATCTGCAAATCTGTGCCACATTCACATATTAAGTTATACATAATCCCCCAGAATTGCAATGACTTTAAAAAGGGAGTCGCAAAACATTCTGTGGCTTTCCCTCTAACAAAGTTAACACAAGAAACATTTCCTCCAAGAAAGGGTGCCGGTAGCTTACCCTTAGAATGCTAGCTACTCAGAAGCCTGAAAGATGAGGATCATGATTGGAAAAGTCCATGAGACTCCTATCTCCAATTAACCAGCAAAAAGTCAGAAGTGGAAGTGTGGCTCAAATGGTAGAGCACCAGCCTTCAGTGAAAAAACTATGGGAGAATGCAATGCCCTGAGGTCAAGCCCCAATACTAGCCCCTAGCCCCCAAAAAGAACCCTATAAAGTATTATTTTTTAATTGTGAAAATACTGTACAGAGGTGTTACAATTACATGGGCAAGATAAATGAGTACATTTCTTTTTTTTTTTTTTTTTTTTTGGGTCCGGTCGTGGGGCCTGAACTCTGGGCCTGGGTGCTGTCCCTCAGCTCTTCAGCTCAAGGCTAGCGCTCTACCACTTGAGCCACAGCGCCACTTCCGGCTTTTTTCTTTTTGCTTATGTGGTGCTGAGGAATCGAACCCAGGGCCTCAGGCCTGCAAGGCAAGCGCTCTACCACTGAGCCATCTTCCCAGCCCAAATGAGTACATTTCTTATCAAGCATTGTAGCCTCCTCCTTTACTTTAGTCAGATAAAGTATTATTTTATTATTTTATCTTACTGTTTCTTGCAGTCCCTACAGACACCCAAATTTTGAGGTGAAAAAGTGACAAGAATATGAACGCGAATGGTGGTGTTCGAACGTGGTTTTTCTGCCAATAGTGAAGGAAATAAGTTCAATGTAATTAAGTCTTCCTATCACAACACAAAATCTATGAATCTCCCCTTACAACTAATCAGGCCAAAGCAGAACAGCAGTGATACATCAGGTGTTTTTTTTAAAAAATATAAAACTAGATTAATATTGAAAGCAAACTGAGAACCCAAGTTCAAAGTCAACCTCTTTGGTAGTCATTTTTCAAAACTAATTTTATTGTTATTATTAAGATGCTGTATAGAGGGGTTAACACTGCATATGTCAAATAATGAGTACAACTCTTTTTGGACAGTGTCACCCTGGTAGTCAACTTTAAAGAGGTGATTTGGAATTCGTAATTGCTTTTTAATTTGTAATTGCTTTTTCTAATTTTATTGTACTCCCTACAGACAAATTAACTGTATGGATATATGTATAATATATATGTATGTACATATGTATACGAAACACCTATATCAAACATATATATAATGTGTATATATATATATATATATATATATATATATATATGAAATATATGTTGGTCCTGGGGCTTAAACTTGGTGTCTGGGCACTGTCGCTAAGATATTTTTTTGCTTAAGGATAGCTCTCTGTTACTTGAGCCATAGCTCCACTTCTGGCTTTTTGCTGGTTACCTGGAGATAAGAGTCTCTTGGACTTTCCTGCCCTTGCTTTGAATTGTGATCCTCAGATCTTAGCTTCCTGAATAGCTAGGATTACAGGCAGGAGCCACTGGTGTCAGGCTGGGTTATGTATCATTTTAAATAGCCAGAATATTTGATTTGAGACTATGCCTTTGCCCATGGGCCAGCCTTGTATGTACCTGATGAGCCAGTGATGTCCATAGCCTTCAGATTCCTGCACTTGATCACGGTCAGGGTCATGCGGCCAGCCGTCGGCAGGTAGCACAGCGAGAACATGATCTCTCCCAGGTCTATGCTCTCCTAGAGAAACCATCAAGAATGTTAGCAATGGCTAACACTGCTTAGTGACCAGAAAGGAAGAGTAAAGAAAGATGACAAGTGTAAAAGTCACTCGAGTAGAATGTTAGGATACTATACTCCAATAGCTCTGTTTAAGGATACAGATAGGATTGCACAAAGCTGTTCTGCAGAGAATGACATCATTGTACCCCAGATGTGTGTGAGGTATCTCCAGGTGTAATTAAGAATGGTGTGTGTGTGTGTGTGTGTGAGAGAGAGAGAGAGAGAGAGAGACAGAGAGACAGAGAGAGAGAGAGACAGAGAGAGAGAGACAGAGAGAGAGAGAGAGAGAGAAAGTATCCAGGGGCTTGAACACTCAGGGCCTGGGCGCTGCCCTTGAGCTGGTTTGCTCAAGGCTTGTGCTCTCTACCATTTGGGCCACATTTCTATCTCCGGCTTTTTGCAGGTTAATTGGAGGTAAGCATCTCATAGACTTTCCTGCCCTGGCTGGCTTTGAACCATGATTCTTAGACCTCAGTCTCTTGAGTAGCTAGGATTACATGTTCACCTCTAATATTTCTTAATTCCTCCCCTCTTCAAATCCTACATATGTATAGATGTTGATGTGATCCTTTGTGAGCTTGTATATGTTTATCTTTTTAGTGAAACCTATGTTTCATTATGTTTTGAAGGTACAAATAAACAACCCAGTTAATCTGGATAAACACTGACAGGTATTGTTTCATTTACTAAGCAGAACTGTCTACAGCACCCGAACTCAGATTTATGTGTTGTCTTTCTACACAGATGATAAACAAATGAAATGAATGCAGGCCATTTAGGACATCTCTAGGAGGTGTTTACAGAATTCAGTCAAATCATTCCTGGTGAAACAATGAGGTAGGTTTAATTTTGGGGGGAAATACATTTTTGACTATTCATCAGGTCCACAGAATTAAGCTCTTCAAAATTCTTTATGGCTGGTGGGCACTAGTGGCTCATGTCTGTAATCTTAGCTATTCAGTAGGCTCAAATCTGAGGAACCAGTTCCATGGCCAGCTTGGGCAGAAGAGTCTGGGAGACTCTTATCCTCAAGTAACCACCAAAAAGCTGGTTGTGAAGCTGTGGCTTGAGTGACAGAGTGCTAGTCTCGAGGAAAAAAGCTTAGGGAATGTGCCCAGGCCTGGAGATCAAGCCTTGGTACTGGCACACATGAAAAATCCTTCATGGTGATCTAAAACATTCATTAGAAAATCTCAGCATGGAGAAATAATTCAGTTTTCATAGTGATTGTCTTGAGAGCAAATATAGCATAAACTCAGTTTCCTTAACAGCCTGTTTGGAGATGAGGGTTCCCTGAAAGTCTTTGTTTTATGATTTAATTTCTATTATTTCAAGTCTATGCTTTAATGGCTCATTGAATGGCTAATAGATTTTACTGGGACATCTCACTGACTCCACTTGTTCTGAATCTCATCAATGTCCAAATAAAGTAAATCATATATTTAACAGCCACCAAAAAATACACACAAAAACCCAACCATTTATGGGATTTTATTCTTAATGGCTTCAGGTGTGAGTTACATAATTCTACTTTGTTATTCATGATCTAGAGGTAGTAAAACCTAGTAATTAAGAGTGTAAACCTTAGCGATAGTTAAACAGGAGTGCAATCCCTAGGCTTAAACTTCCTAGCTGTAAGATTCTCAGCAATTTAATTAGGCTTTGAATCTCTGAAATGTCACTTCCTAAGTGAGGCATATTTTGTTGCCAGCTGGATGACTGCCCCAGGAGTTATAAGCATTAAATGAGATAATGCAAATAAAGGATGTTGTTTTGTTCACTGCTGTATTGATAGCATTTGGAATGGTGCCATATACCTATAAGGCACTCAGTAACTACTGGACAAATGAAAAAAAAGTAAATAGAAGCAATTGCTTTTGTTTGTTTGTTTGTTTGTTTATACCATCCTAGGGCTTGCATTCAGGGCCTGGGTGTTATCTCTAAGCTTTGTTGCTCAAGGCGAGGGCTCTACTGCTTCGAGCCACAGTGCCACTTCCAGTTTGTTCTGGTGGATGATTGGAGATGAGTCTCACTGACTTTCCTGGTTGGTAGTTGGATGGCTTTGAACTGTGGCCCGCAGACCTCAGTCTCCTGAGTAGCTAAGGTTACAGGTGTGAGCCATTGGTGCCCAGCTACGAGTCCCATTTTTTCTAATGATTTTCTCCTTGTTTCTGCTTTCCATTTCCTAAGTGTTTCTGAGGCTCAGCCTAGGAGTGAAAGGCTTTTATTGTATGATGGCTTTCCCATCTTCTCACTGGAGAGTTCTTTCAGTTACTACCAATGAGCATAGGCATATTTTGAGGCCAGTTGTTCAAGTCAGGGGATCTTACTCTGAATGTAGAGCATGACATCATGTTTCACCAAGGCACATGGTACTCTTAAAGGTGGGGACACCCCAAAAAGAAAGGGAGGTAATGACTTCAGACATGAGAGCCTTAGAATTGCATTCCATGAAAACAGAAAAAAAAGACACAATTAGAAAGGCATTAACAACTAAAATATATACTCATGGCTGAATAATACACATGAATGTATGTATGTATGTATGTATGTATGTATGTATGTATGTATGTATGTATTTAGGTCAGTTATTGGGCTTGAACTCAGGGCCCTGGATGCTGCCCCTGAGCTCAAGGCTAGTGATCTACCACTTCGAGCCACAACTCCAATTCCAGTTTTTGAGTGGTTAATTGGATATAAGAGTCTCATGGGGACTTTTTTGTCCACACTGGTTTTGAACCATCATCCTCAGATACCAGCCTCCTGAATACCTAGGACTACAGGTGTGAATCACCATTACTCAGATTACAGATTTATTCATACATATCGGACTGCTGTATGAGTAAACACACAAAAAGACATATGCATATTTATATACAATATGCAAGAATGAATCTCTATGAAGAAAACCCTTTGGACAATTAACAGGCCGTTTAGGAAAGTGATATTACTGACTGGGTGCTGGTGGTTCATGCCTGTAATCCTAGCTACTCAGGAAGCTAAGATCTGTAGATTGGGATTCAAAGTCAGACTGGGCAGGAAAAGTCTGTGAGACTCTTATTTCCAGTTAGCTACCAGCATGCCAGAAAAGGAGCCATGGCTCTAGTGGTAGAACATTAGCTTTGAGCAAAAAAACTCCGCGACAGTGCTGAGGTCCTGAGTTCAAACCCCACAACTGGTGCACATGTGCACGCACATACATATGCGCACGCACACACACACACACAAAAGCACTGGACACATACATGTTAAATTGTACAACCTTTTGAAGTTTAGAAAATAATAAGCAAATAAACATGATGGAAAATAAAAAATGAAATAATAAAAAAATGTATGAGAGTATTTTTTTTCCTCTTGGTTGTGGGGCTTGAACTCTTGGTCTGGGGGCTATCCCTGAGCTCTTCAGCTAAAGTTAAGTGTTCTACCACTTGAGCCCCAGCACCACTATCTGTTTTCTGGTGGTTAATTGGAGACAAGAGACTCACAGACTTTGCTGGCTTTGAACCTCAATCCTCAGATTTCAGCCTCCTGAGTAGCTAGGATGACAGGTGTGAGCCACCAGCACCCAGCTGAAAGCAATGTTTTTGAATCAGCATGTGGCTCAAAGCAATTTTTTTTAACTTCTCAGAACATATCACATACTTATTGGCTGAAACAAAGAAAGTTGGTCATGTTTGGTCTCATCTTGTAAAGATCCTAACTCAAAGACAACATAGTGCAGATCGTCAGTTACTGACAGATACTGACACAAGACAGGACTTAAACTGAGCAGTCGACTAAACCATCAACTCAAATGAGCAGAAAACAAAAAAATATAGGATCAGAGTGCAGCCTCTTGCAGCTGTATATTATAGTCAAGCTGACCTCATGCCTAATGGAGTAAAAAGAGCTTTACTTCACATTTGAACTCTATATGGTGAAGAGTTTTAGGAAATAGAAATGAACTGTGTGTGAAAATACTAATATATGAAGCCAGGACTGCTGGTTCATGCCTGGAATCTTACCCATTCAGGAGGATGAGATCTGAGGATCACAGTTCAAAGCAGCTCAGACACAAAATCCCATAAGTACCTTATCTCCAATTAACCAGCAAAAAGCCAGAAGTGAAGGTATGGCTTAAATGGTAGAGCACCAGCCTTGAGTGGAAAAGCCAAGTGAGAACGTAAGGATGGCCTTGAGTTAGTTCAAGGCCGATTACCAGCAGGAATAAACTCTAATACACTGTAAGCATTCATAACAATGACACAGCTTAATTCTTCAGGGAGTTTTTTCCTTTCAAGGAGGCATGAATCGGAATGAAGAATTTCATACATATTAGAAAGAACAGAGTGCTCCCTAAGGTAAACACTAAAGTTGTTAAGCTTTTTAAATCTGGAAGTGATCCAAGAGATAACCATGAGAAAATGAACTTAATGAAGATGAATGGCTGTCTGATATCTATCTATCTAAATTTTTTTTATGTCAGTCCTGGGGCTTGAACTCAGGGCCTGGGTGCTGTTTCTGAGCTTTTTAGCTCAAGAATAGCCCTCTACGATTTGAGACATAGCTCTACTTCCAGTTTTTTGGTGGCTAATTGGAAATACCAGTCTCATGGACTGTCCTGCCTATGCTGGCTTCGGGCCACAATCCTCAGATCTCAGCCTCCTGAGTAGGTAGAATTACAGGCATGAGCACCAGCACCCAGCCATCATGGTTTTGAATGCAGAACTTTGCCCTTCCTCAGTTTCCTTGTTCAGCTGGTGCTCTACCATTTGAGTCATGCCTCCAGTTCAGGATTTTTCTGATTGTTTTGGAAATGGAGTCTTTCAAACTTTTCTGCTTACAGCTGACATATAATTGCTCTTCTCTAGATTTCTGAGTAACTAGGATTACAGGTGTGAGCCACAAGTGCCTGCCTATGAGTACTACTTTTATAGATTATATCCAAAAATACTTTCAATATGTAATTGGTTGTTTTG